ATCACAGTACGTCATGCCCAGTATGTAAACTGGGGGGAGTTACTTGGAAGGGCAGGTTGCTGCTTGGGTCGGGCTGGGTATCGGTCAGCAGGTGGTGAGCAATTGTACTGTGCATCGCTTGTATTTATTGTTTTTTTTTCCCCTTCCCTTTTTAGCTTTATATTATCTTCCTTTGTTATTTCCCTTATCATCATCTTTAGTAGTAGTAGTTGGTTTATATTATACTTCTGTTATTAGACTGTTCTTATCTTAGCCCATGGGATTTACTCCTCCCCAGCCTGCTGGGGGGGGGGGGGAAGGGGGGTGTGAGCGAGCAGCTGTGGGGTGCTGAGTTACCAGGTGGGCTTAAACCATGACAGTGCTTTGTGGCACCCAACATGGGGCATGAAGGGTTGAGATGACAGATCTGACCTGAGTGTCTCTAGACATATTTGTGATAAGCATTCATTGTTTCAGATTAATAGTCACTTTTCACAATGTTGATTTATTTGCCCTTGGAGGTGTTGCATGTCATACTTTACTTACAGCCGGTATTTGCTGGTTTAGTGTTTATCGGCTTCGGGGCCTGGGCTAAGGTTCTCGTTTTGTTGTACTTTATGACGATGGCTTGTGACACAATAGAATCAATGATCGTGAAACTGCTCTGGTATGCATTCTCAGCATGGCCATCACTTCTATACTTTGGGAGGCATGTAATGGGAACTATTAACAATTACACCTCTTTTATTTTTCTCTTGGAGGTTCAACCTATGGGGGAGACATCCTCCTTCACCTTCCCTTTCCCCATCAGGCTATTACAATGGCATTTGAGAATTTTAAAGACTGCGAATATCCTTTGAGTACCCTTGAAATCAGCCTGCTCCTTTTGCTGGGAACCAGCATCTTGTTGAATATGGTTCAGGTCTTGTTTAAGGTTAAACAACTATCTAAGAACACCACCAGGAGATCTTCCCCAAGGCTGGACAGTCATGAGTGTATCAGGGTGTGTGGGATTGTACGGGCAAGCTCCAAGGCCAGTTGGCCCCTCCAATGCTTTGGAACTTCACCCCTGAACAAGTGTGAAATCCAGAAAAACTAGTAAAACACTTAGACAAGGTGTGCTGTCATCATGGCAATACAAGTGAGGGACAAATGACCACAATGTGCTGGGGCTTTGCCTACAGAGCCCTGCTCAACACTATCCAGTACCCTCAAGGGGAAAAAGATGTCTCTGGATCTGATGGCAAAGCAACAGAAAACATAGCTACTCTGTCCCCAACAGTGAGCAGAGCAGCCACTCCAACCCCAGTGAAAGATACTGCAGTCACTCTAACCCCAGTAGCAGGCACTGAAATTGAAAAAAAGGACCAAACCATACTGTTATCAGTTGCCCCTATACACAAAAGGAGATGGAAACAAAAAGCAACTCATGTAATGGAGGAAGATGAAGAAGACTCAATGCCAGAACTAGAGGGGGTGACACCTGAACAAGAGGAAATAGTATAAGAAAGAGAGGAAGAGGAAGAACAAGTGGTAACTTCTCAATCCCTGAAAAGATCTTCCAGATGAGCACATAATCACCTGGTTACTCCGATGCTGGGACAATGGGATGACAGTCACAAACTAGAGGGCAAGAAGCCAATCTGCTGGGATCACTTGCTAGGGAAAGGGGAATTGACAAAGCAATTGCAAAAGAGAAAGGAGCCCTCAGCCTTTAGAGGAGGCTCTTGGCAGATGTGAAGGAAAGGTATGATGGATACAAGGATGATGTTATATGTCACTCAGCCAAGTGAACCACTGTCATGGTTTAAGCCCAGACAGTAATAGAGAACCACGACAGAGAGAGGCATCCACTACCTGAGGGAATCAGCCATTCTAGGGATGATCTATCATAGGCCGGATGCTGGAATGCACCTGTACATCCAGATGAAGTAGAATGTACACGACCTATGTGGAGGAAATTTGCACAGAATGCGCCATCATCATATTGGCATAAATGACCTGGAGTGGGCAGCAGCACCAACAGTGGATGAAATGAGTCATCAGCTCCAGGAGACTGAAGACAATCGCACCCCTTCCATCATTTCAGCTGTGGAAAAACTCCTGTCCCAGGAGTTCAAGCAATTGAAAGCTGATCTATCCAGCTCCCCATGTGTAGACCCGCATCTCAGCTTTTAACAGAAGGCTCCCTATAAGGCACCCTATTGCCCGAGAGAGAAGATATAGAAGGTACATGCCACAAGGCACCCTATGGTTTTACCTGCGGGATCATGGAGAAGACATGAGAAAGTGGGATGAAAAATCTACCTCCCTTCTGGAGCAACGGGTGCATGAATTGAAGAGGAAAACAACGGTCAAGGATGATCCTCACAAGAAAGTTGCTGGTCCATTTTTTGGACAAGCAGCTTCCCAGATGGAGTGGAAGAGCTGATTTTATTCCAACTCCTGTGATAAGGAATTCTAATCCCTCTGTACAAGACGTAAGAGGAGAATCTTATGATCACCATTAGAGGGGCCCTGCCTCCAGCCAGGCAAGGGGAAAGGCATCCAGCTGGCCTTGGACATTGCTGAACGAGAAAAGTGGCCAATACTTTATACTGATTCAGGGATGGTGGCAAATGCCCTGTGGGGGTGGTTGCAGCAATGGAAGCAGAGAAACTGGCAACGCAGAGGTAAACCCATATGGGCTGCTGCACTGTGGCAAGATATCGCTGCTTAGGTGCAGAACCTGGTGGTGAAGGTACACCACGTAGATGGTCATGTACCCAAGAGTTGGGCCACAGAGGAACATCAAAACAATCAACAGGTGGATCAAGCTGCTAAGACTGAAGTGGCTCAGATGGATTTAGATTGGCAACATAAAGGTTGTCGTGGTTTAAGCCCAGCAGGTAACACAGAACCATGCAGCTACTCACTCACTTCCCCAGCCCCTCCCCACAACTTCCTCCCCCTGCTCCCAGAGGGATGGGGATGAGAATTGAAAGAATGTAACTCCCACAGGTTGAGATAAGAACAGTCCAGTAACTAAGGTATAACGCAAAACCACTACTGCTACCACCAATAATAATAATGAGAAGGGAAATAACAAGGGAAGAGAATAAAACTGCTCACCACCTGACGACTGACACCCAGCCTGACCCGAGCAGCGATCTAGCCCTTCCAGGTAACTGCCTCCAGTTCTATACTGGGCATGACGTGCTGTGGTATGGAATAGCCCTTTGGCTAGTTTGGGTCAGGTGTCCTGTCTCTGCTTCCTCCCGACTTCTCCTCCTCTCTGGCAGAGCATGAGACTCAGAAAGTCCTTGGTCAGTGTAAACGTTACTTAGCAACAACTAAAAACATGTGTGTTATCAGCATTGTTCCCAGGCTGAAAGTCAAAAACACAGCACTGCACTAGCTACTAAGAAGGAGAAAAATGACTGCTGATGCTGAACACAGGACAGTATCCACCCCTTATTCCATCCCATTCATGTCATGCTCGGATCCCACATTTTTCAATATACCATCACTCTTGTCATATATATATATACATACACACACGCACAAAGAGAGAGATATCATTCCTTAGTGCATGGACCAATCCCTATAAAGCTGCTGAGTCCATCTGGTCCATGATGTCAGGCTCCATCTCTTGTAACAGTCTTTCAGAGCAGGAGAGGCTGGGTGCAGTGTTGGACTGTTGCCTGCTGATGACACTGTGGAAATTGTCTAGTCACTGCTGAGCTCGTCTGGTTTTGGCAAAGTTCATTCTTTGTTGGAATGATGATCGGAGGGAAGTCAGGGCCAGTTGCTGGTGACCTGAAGACATCTAGTTGGTGGGCTATAAAAAGTGCTATATAGCAGGCAATAGCATACAATTGAGTTCATTGGCTGTTTCCCCCTTGAGGTACACATCGGACTTCCCCATTTTCCCACATTACCCACCAAGTATATCTGGGTCCCTGAGCAAAAGCAATCCCACGAGTGGGTTTGCCTTTACCTGAAGTAGGAATAACCTAGACTGTCTTCCCCAGCAAGTTCTTTATGTGCACCACAGGAACTTTATCCCCTTCTACAGTATGTAAACGTTCTGACTGGGCTAGGCCAGCCCTGTTGGCAGATCCTCTGGTGTTGACCAACCAGGTGGCGTTTGGTACCATTCGATTTTCCCAGAGGCTGGTGCATGGTAGGGGATGTGATATACCAACTCAATGCCATGCTCTTTGGCCCAAGTGTCTATAAAGTTGTTCTGGAAATGAGTCCCATTGTCTGACTCTATTCTCTCTGGGGTGCCGTGTCACCAGAAGATTTGTTTCTCAAGGTCCAGGATAGTGTTCCGCGCAGTGGCGTGGGGTACAGTGTACGTTTCCAGCCATCTGGTGGCTGCTTCCACCATGGTCAGCAAATGGTGTTTGCCTTGGTGGGTTGGTGGGAGTGTGATATAGTCAATCTGCCAGGCCTCCCTATATTTATACTTCAACCATTGTCCCCCATACCAGAGAGGCTTTAACCGCTTGGCTTGCTTAATTGCAGCACGTTTCACACTCGTGAATGACCTGGGCAACAGTGTCCATTGTCAAGTCCACCCCTCAATCACAAGCCCATCTATAAGTTGCATCTCTGCCTCGGTTGCCTGAGATGTCATGGGCCCACCGGGCTAATAATAATTCACCCTTGTCCTGGGTTCAGCAGCAGCAGCAATTTTTTCTCCTTAGTAGCTGGTGCAGTGCTGGTTTTGACTTTCCGCCTGGGAATAACACTGATAACACCAATGTTTTCAGTTGTTGTTAAGTAATGTTTACTCTGACCAAGGACTTTCTGAGTCTCATGCTCTGTCAGGGAGGAGGGGAAGTTGGGAGGAAAGCAGAAACAGGACACCTGATGCAAACTAACCAAAGGGGTATTCCATACCACAGGACGTCATGCCCAGTATATAAACTGGGGGCAGTTCCCCAGAAGGGCTAGATTGCTGCTTGGGTTGGGCTAGGTATGGTTTGGCGGGTTAGGAAGGCAGCAGACATGCTTGATTACGCAGCACTTACTGTCATGATGAGCTTCTCAACACAGTCAGGTGACACACTGTGCAGATGGGTGAGGTGCAGCTGCAAATCGATCTTGTTGATCAGCGTGTCCTGGCAGAGAGGGCAGCAGAGCATGGGCTGAGGCAAGTGTTGGGTCATGGCATGCACCCACAGCCAATTCACGTCTGTGTTACTGTATTTGCAATATGGACACTGATACATCTGCAGAGCAAGACAAATTAATCACGCACTTGGTACAACCGCTGCTTTCCTCTTTCCTTACAGCTATATTTTAATAATTTGATGCCTTCTCCTACCACCAGTTATTGTCTTTCATCCTCCTCCTATTTTATTCTTTGCTTTTGGCACATATGAAACAAATTACCTTCTTGTAGATGCACAAAAAGATGGTTTCTTCTTCCTTACCTGCTCTGATTTGGTCTTTTCTGAAGTTTCTGACCATTTAAAGGGGAGAGGTAACTCAGAGCTGCTGGGAAATGATATTCGTTTAGAGGATGCTGGAGGGTCTGTCAGCTCCTTCTCTACATGGCTGGCTGGTGCTGCAACAAAATGAGATTTATATCACAACATCCCCAAAGAGGCTTAAGCTGGAAAAAGACAATATTTCCATTTACCCTGCTGCTGTTGCTTGAAACACATATCAAAGACTTGGAAGAGGATGAGTCTGTGGACTAACTTACATCGTACAAAGCATGCCCAGCCAAAAAAATTCATTTTTGACTATCTTTCATAGTAAGGGAACAGTGTCATTTATAGTTAGAAGCAGAGAAATCTCAGATATTTCTGTGGGCTGCTTACAACCTGCTAAGTGTTGCCATCCAGGAAAGTCTTGTCCAGCGTTCACATAGGACACACAAATGCTTGGCCAGATGCAAAGGCCAGTGTGTCAGCTCCAAGAGCAGTTGGACTGACTCGACAAAGCAGAACTCATACTCCTAGCTCACTGAATGTTTTGCATATGAACACTCTAGAATATGTTTGCCTTGGAGGTGGTTGGAATCTGTGGCCATCAATCCAAGTGAGGTGCGTCCTGTGCTGGAAGCAGTGGCACGCTGCCAGGCAAAAGCGCACATCTGAGGGTCCCACCAAACCCACAATGGCAGAGACCCAGCCTACAGCCAGTGCTGGGATAGGACTCTGAACCTCATGCTATAACAAGCTGAGGAAAGGCAATTTTATTTCAACAAAACGCAAAAAGGCAAATGAGCCCAGAATTCAACAGCAAAACCCTCAGCAAGTTGTAGTGTTCTGAGAAGCGCATCCCTGATCTTTACCCCTCCCCCCAAGCCCTGGCAGCCTGCAGTACATAAATTTGTGGGACATCTATTATTTAAAAGCTGTAAGGACAAGTATACTATACACAGCCCCCATCTCCTCCTCCCCAAACCCACATTCATAACAGTACTTTAATCTGGCTCGAATCGACTTCAAACCCATTTTGCCCTTAATAGGAGTTATTAATTTTCACTTGAAAGGTAATATTGAAAGGAAAGTAACTTGAAAGGAAAGCTGGATATTTAATATGATGGATTGGCTGCCAATTAACAAAGCACTGTAGCATTCTTCAACCAGTCCCCCCATACTCTTCCCCTTGTCTCTTATTCTCTTTGTGAACCCACTGGTATCAGCTTCTTGTTTCAGAAGATGCTGTCAGAGTAAGATCCAGGCAAACTGCTTCCTTCTCAAAGATCCCCGAAGTTTATTGTTGATAAACAGCCAAACATCCACTGGCATGAGCTGCATTCCAAAAGGTATCACAGGAAGAGCTCCCCATTTCTAACCATCTTCCCTGCCAGACCCCACCTCTAAGGGTTCACTTAAATAGAGGCAAAATAACTTTCAGGAGAGGGAAAATTGGTATTGCAAGTAGATAACAATACTGCCAGATGGAAGCAGGGATCAGAGGATCTCTGGTACTACTGAATTTCTCCTGGTAGATTTGGCCATGCCAAAGCCTGCTTAGAGGGGATTTCCTTACCCACAGGGCTGCCCTGCCACGAGCCTGGTGTTTCAGCCCTGGCTGGTTATGCAGCCTACATGCACAATGTAAAGTCCTGGCTACACCTGAATCCAAAACCACGGGATCCCACTGTGCTTCCAACTCTATAAAAATATCCAAACAGAGTTTCTTTGAGTAGAACAAGTCTGTACTCTCAGTGCCGACTCATGGACACCAACACAGAATGATAGACTACTTCCCAGGTCAACACACTAGCTTGAACCCCACACCCTCCCTGGAGTTCAGGACTGGAAAGTTATTAAGGATGGCTACAGGACCATAGCTGGCCTTCATTGCTCCCTACTAATGAAATGTGCTTGGAGCACAAGAAACGTGGCACCACCCTGGACCCACCTGCACTGCTCTTCCACCAAGGAAAGCAGTTCCTCTGTGTGTGTTTGGGGAGGCAGAGTCCATGACCAAGAGCCAGCACTATGGAAGGCAGAGGACCAGCCTGCCTTAATACACACAGCCCGAGCCTTGTGTGGTGTGAGTGGCCCCATAGCTATTGAACACTAGCTGTAAATCCTGGAGTCATGACAGGGCATTTCCTTATTTCCTTTCTATTGGAAAGCAGTCTGCTTAGAATTAGGGCAAAGTAAAAAGTAATAAAAATTTACTTTTACCTACCATATCCAAAGTGACCAATTTTATTAAATGCACTCGATCAAACACATAACTTCAGTCTTTCAAACCCAGAAATATTAATGACTGTCCAGACCCCAGAATAACAGGTTTGTTGCAGAGTTCTGAAAAATGCAATGCTCGGAGCAATGTAGATATATTCCAGCAGCTCCAGCCAATGAGCCAGCTTCATTTGGAGCTCGGCTAAGATGCCTCTATACAAACGCCCGCAGCATGGGGAACAAACAAGAGGAATTAGAGATGTATGCACGTCTACGGGGGTATGATATAATAGGCATAGCAGAAACATGTTGGGATGGCTCCTATGACTGGAGTGTTGGAATGGAAGGTTCCAGGCGTTTTAGAAAAGACAGGCCTGGCAGGCGGGGAGGGGGAGTTGCTCTTTATGTTAGGGATAGGCTGGAGAGTATGCAACTCTGTCTGGGGACAGCTGAGCAGTCAACAGAGAGTTTGTGGATAAGGGTTAAAGGGAAAACAGCTATGGGAGACATTAGTGTGGGGATCTGTTACAGACTGCCTGATCAAGGAGAATATGCGAATGAAGCACTCTATAGACAGATAGGAAAAGCCTCACGCTCGCAGGCCCTTGTTCTCATGGGTGACTTCAACCACCCTGATATCTCTTGGAACGATGGTACGGCCTGGCACAAGCAATCCAGGAGGTTCCTCGATTGTGTGGAAGACAACTTCCTTCTGCAAGTAATAGAGGAGCCGACAAGGAGGGGCGCCATGCTTGACCTCGTGATCACCAACAGGGAAGGGCTGGTTGGAAATGTGATGCTCCAGGGCAGCCTTGGTTGCACCGATCATGAAATGTTTGAGTTCTAGATCCTCAGGACAGTGAGAAGAGCGTGCAGCAAGCTCACTGCCCTGGACTTCAAAAGAGCAGAATTTGGCCTCTTCAGGAACCTGCTTAGTAAGGTTCCATGGGACATAGCCCTGGACGGCAGGGGGGCCCAAGAGTCTTGGTTGATATTCAAGGATCACCTGCTACAAGCTTAGGAGTGTTGCATCCCAACTAGAAGAAAGTGCAGCAGGAGGGCCAGGAGACCTCCTTGGATGGATGAGGAGCTACTGAGGAAAATTCAAATTAAAAAAGACACTTGTAATAAGTGGAAGCAAGGACAGGAGGCCTGGGAAGAGTACAGGGATGTTGTCCAGGAAGTTAGGCACCAGGTTAGGAAAGCTAAGGGCCAGTTAGAATTAAACTTGGCTAGGGATGTTAAGGATAACAGGAAGGGATTCTACAGATACGTAGCAAATAAAAAAAAGACTAGGGACAACGTAGGCCCCCTCAGGAAGCTCTCGGGAGAACAGGCTACACAGGATTTGGAGAAGGCTGAGGTTCTGAATGACTTCTTTGCCTCGGTCTTCACTGGCAAAGGCTCTGACCGCAGCACCCAAGTCTTAGAAGGCAGATGCAGGGACTGTGAGAATGAAGACCTTGAAGAAAAGTACAAATAAGGAGAAAGGTGACAAAGGAAAGGATGAATAAGGGAAGAGTAAAAAGAAAGTAAATAGTCTGCAAACTAGAAAGCTTTTGGTAAACCTTTCCTTGCTCCGACTGAGATGTTCCCTTCGCCTCTCTTCAAGTGTTTGTCCATAACCTGCACCACCATAACCAGTGCAGTGCTTGAACACCAACAGTTTTAAAGAGCTGGAGAGTTTGCATGTTTCAACTGGAGATGATCTTTTAAAGAGTCAAATGCACACACTCATCCTTTTCTGGAAAACTGCCTCTTTGGGTGTACCCAGTCACACACAGAATATACAAACTACTTCACTAGCACATGGTTGGCATTGGACACAGGACAACACATACCTTTCTGAACATCGAGACCAGTACCTTGCACCCCCTGAAAAGCTTCCTACAGCCCTTCTCACAGAGCAGCAACTGGACAGACAGACCCACATCACCGCCACTGTGCCATATTCCGACACATGGCTGCCAGCACTGGTTAGATGCCTGTGTCAAGTGAAGACATCTCTACAGCTCAGAGCAGCTGCACACCTCACGTGACTGATGCTCAGGGATCACTGCCCTCTCACCAGGGCTGTGGTACTTGAAGGAACAGAAACCAACACTGAGTTGCAATGCTTGTGGTGCTTCTGCTCCCAGCTTCTGACTGCTGGGACAAACATTCCTAGATGTGTATGTTTCCTAGCAAAACACGTCTCTCCATCCTTCTGTCAGATACTAAGAACCTTGGGCTTCAGAAGAGAGTGAGGCTGTTATCTGCACGCCATGTATCTTGTTTTCTGCAAAATCAAGGACCACAAGGCTCTGACTGAACTGCATGAGATATTATGAGAATGATATGATGAGAATGAAGACCTTGGGCCCACTGTAGGAGAGGATCTGGTTCGAGACCATCTTAAAAATCTGAACGTGCAGAAGTCCATGGGTCCTGATGAAATCCATCCGCAGGTCCTGAAGGATCTGGCAAATGAAGTTGCTAAGCCGCTGGCCATCATATTTGAGAAATCATGGCAGTCAGGTGAACTTCCCGACTACTGGAAAAAGGGAAATATAACACCCATTTTCAAGAAGGGGAAAATGGATGACCCGGGGAATTACAGACCAGTCAGTCAGTCTCACCTCTGTGCCTGGCAAAATCTTGGAGCAGATTCTCCTGGAAGGCATGCTAAGGCACATGAAAATCAACAAGGTGCTTGGTGACAGCCAGCATGGCTTCACTAAGGGGAAATCCTGCCTGACCAATTTGGTGGCCTTCTATGATGGGGCTATGGAACTGATGGACAGGGGGAGAGCAGTTGATGTCAACTACCTGGACTTGTGTAAAGCATTCGACACTGTCCCACACGACATCCTTGTCTTTAAATTGGAGAGACATCAATTTGATGGATGGACCACTCGGTGGATAAAGA